ACTGCTATGAATCGTAATGTAAATAGCTGATATGCAGGATGTATTTTCATTGTTACAAATTGAACATAATTAAAGCATAATGATTAATCACAAAAACAATATGTAATTATATGTGTTTTCCGATGGTCTTAGGCGACCCCTGTGAAAGGGTCGTTCGACCCCCAAAGGGGTCGAGACCCACAGGTTGAGAACCGCTGCCCTAGCTAGTTACCTCCCAGTCCTCCACCCCTCTCCTGAGGAATTTTTGTTTTGGGGGGACCAATACAAAGCCAATTGGCCTTCAGGGGGTGTACTTGGCAGACATTCTCATCTGCACTTGGGAAAGGCAGGGCTAAAGTGGTCTTGGGGACAGCAGACCCCTCTCCAGCTCTGCCTCGACTGTCCTTGCCCGGTCTGGACCAGATGGGGGAAGTGGGTGGCCCAAGGCAGGGAAGCCCAGATCCAGTGAGAAATGTCCAGAGGACCTCCACCACCCACATGCATCAGAGCCTGGGACGAGAGCACTGGTTTGAGGGTTCCCTGTTGCTACTGTGGCGGCCTATATGCACTTCAGGTTTTAGCTCTTGCTCCAACCCTTTGTCATCCCGAGTGGGGAAGCTGTGGCCTAGAAGGGGAGGGCCTTGGACAAGCTCTCAGTTTGGAGTATGGGACCCCTTCCCAGTCATGGACCAGAGGAGGAAGGCCATTGGAGGCCACTCCACCTCCATCCCTTCAGGCAGTTAAAGAGCGACAGAAAGGAGGTTATGGCAACAAACATGGCACCCGCACCTGGGCTCCTGCTTGCAGCACAGAAACCGGTTTCTACCCTGGACCAGGAGATGGTGCTGTTCTCTCACCGGTGGTTGCAGAAAACTGCCTCACATTTTGGGTTGTGGGGAGGATTGGCCGGGGAGGGAAGGGTCATGGGTTGTGGGAGCCTCTTGGGAAATTTTGGGTTTAGTTACTTCCTTTTTTCTGTTTTTATTGAATTTGTTGGGGTGACACTGGTTAACAATCATATAGGTTTCAGGTGCGCAATTCTACAACACATCATCTGTACCCTGTATTGTATTCACCACGCCAAGTCAAGTCTCCTTCCATCACCATTTATCCTCCCTATACCATCCTCCACTACCCAGCCCCCTAGTGCCTTCTTCCTGAAGCTCACCCCAGCCTGGAAAGTTACCTCTTTCCACCATGGGCCTCTAGCCCCTTCCCAGAGCCGTGCTTGGGAAGGCCCTTCGGCAAGCAGAACCCCTAAAGTAACGTAACCCCTGGATCTCTTTTAGGTCTGGAAGCTTAGGAAATTCTGATGAAAATAGATGTCCATTCTCTCAAGCATATACAATTGGTCCCCTTATTTGCATACCCTTTAAAGGGGTTCATTGACCCCAAGTAAAGATTCCCTGAGCAAGTCCGTTTCTGGAGGAGGACACCGAGGCCCAGAGGGGCCAGCCGCTCCCCAGAATCTCAGCATTGCATGAGCACAAGCACCCGTCTTTGACTCTCCAGGCGTGGGAGGGTGTGACTCAGAGTGGGTTGCAGCAGAGGTACTGCGCACAGTGGCGGCTGCAGAGCCACCAGCTGGAAAAGGGGTGTAGGTCCCTCTTCCCAGTGCTCTCTCTGATGCTAAGAGAGGGACCGCCTAGGCCGGCTCCCTGCAAGCACGGGGGTGGGGGGGGGGGGCTGAGGCTGGGCGTGCACTGCCGTCTTCCTCGCACTCCTCAGCAGGTGTCCCACCCCGCCTGTCCCAGGCATTGGGAGAGATGGGCATGGGGAGGGGGGGTGGCGGAGAAGAAGGTTGAAGGGACCAAAGGGAGTGGCTGGTGCTGGCAGAACGGGTGGGACTGGACAGAGAGGCTCACTCTGTGACTCCCTCCTCCCACCTCGGGTATCCATCTCTCTACCCTTTTAGGCCTCTCCTGTCTCTGGCTCCCAGCCTCCCCCTCCTTTTGCATCTCTCCTCAGCCTAGGCAACCTCTGTCCCCACACAGTTAAACTCAGGCCGAGGTGGGAGGATGCAGGGCACATGTGGGTCAGACAACAGAGCCAAATGGTGGGTTGGCACCACCAGCAGTTTCCTGGGCATGCTCTGCCCCCGGCCAACGGCGCTGCTGGTCCAGCCACCCACTGAGTGGGCACAGAGGAAGGCAGAGGTTATAGTGAGGGCACCAGCTGTTCCCGGCCCTCAGGCTGTGAGCATGCTGTCAGTGGTTCAGCCACCCGAAAAAGCTGTTGTGCTCAGCAGTGCGGCAAATGGGCTGGGGAGGAGGCCTGGGTCCAGGCCAGCTGCTGGCTGGTGGCAGATGCGAGTGGGGTGTGCAGGAGGGTTGGCTGAAGGCTCCCACGGTCTCCAGTGGAGTGGGGTCTTGATCCCCAGAGCCCCTGGCCCAGCATCTGGGGTGTCTCTGTTTCCATCTTGCTGGTTTAAGGCACCCAGAGACCCAGGGCCCAGTGGGAGAAGAGCCGACTGGCAAGAGATTCGATTTCTCGGGGGCTTGACTCTATGCCGCTGGGTGACCTTGGGCAAGTTACTAGTCCATCTGGGCCTCAGTTTCCCGGGGGAACAAAAGGGACCCGGTTCACCAGGATCATCCCCACGACCTTGGAGAAGCCACCTTATATCTCAGGGCCTCCCCTTCTCCGTCCTTCCTCATCGGGTCATTGACAAGATTAAATAAAATCAAGTTCCTGGCTTGGTTCCTGGAACACAGTCGGTGCCTATTATGTGAGTTGCTCTCTCTGTAAGCCTTTGGACTGGATGTGTGACCACTTTTTCCCCTCCCACCATCAGGGGTCCTCGGAAGAGGGGGTCATCCTCCTCCTTCTCCCCACCAGCCCTGAGGCCCTTCCTTGGGTGAAGGGCCCAGAGAAAGCTCAGGGCCGGTCCCACCTGGCCGACCTTGCGTTGGGGGCGGGGCGCCGGGGAGCGGACCCGGGGGCGTGCCCATGGGGGGAGCAGGTCCCCCGCCCTGCAGCACCCCAGCAGGTCCCGGCACCCCCACAGCCCGCCTCCCGCTGCCTCCCCGCTCCCCTCGCCTATAAATAGCCCGGGACGTGCTCCCCGTGACGCGGCCGCCCGCAGGGCAGGGGGGGTGCTGTTCTGCCGGCGCAGGTGGGCGGGGATCTCCGTGCCAGGCTCCCGATTGAGTCATCTCAGGGCCCCCCTGTCCGCGACGGTCCCCGCCGCCAACATGTGTACCTCGGACTCGGGAGGCGGCGGGGGCGAGGCTGGTCCCGGGTGGACACTGAGCCCCGCAGGCCCCGGGCTCGGAGGGCACCGCCAGGCGCGCGGAGGTGTGTGCCGCCCCCTGCGCGACCCGGGCGCGCGGGGAACCGGAAAGTGGCCGCAGCCCCGCCAGCTCCCCCTGCCGCACCCCCAAACCTTGCTTCCCCCTTTCCTGGGGTCCTTTCCACGCTCTTCTCCGCGTCGGCTCTCCGCAGCCCCTTCTCTCAAACACCTGCCGATCCCGCTGAGGCTGCTCGAGCGGAAGGGGGGGAAGAGGCTCGGGGACCCCTCCCGTGTCAGCCTCAGCTCCCCTCCCTGAGATCAGCACCCTCGGCGGCCTCCTCCCAGCTCTCCCAGCCCCCACCCCACTCCCTGCCCCTTTCTCCCTCGTTCCCAAGCACATACACAGAGCAGACCGGCTGGGACAAGAAACGTTTAATTAGGGTCCCGGGGCTTGGCGGGGCCCCGGCAGACCGTCATGCAGCCGGATGTACAGTGGGCAACGGGCCGCCCCTGGGGTGTTGCTGAGGGGCCTCAAGGCAGCAAACAGGGCAGTGTGGCTTGAGTCCCCCTCTGCGGGGGGCGGGGGAGACGTGGGGCAGGGGCCAGTGGGTAAGACCACGTGTCCGTCCTACCGCATGGGAGGGCATGGCTGTGCCCAGGGTGGGGGTGGCGTCAGCTGGCACGATCAAGGATCAAGGACACTAGAGGAGGCTCTGAGCTGGGGGGAGAGGGAAACTGGCACCAGAGAAAAGCAACCTGGAAGGGAATGTTCATCTCAGTGTGCCCACCCGCCCTGGGGGTGCCTTCTCCCTGCCTTTCCTGGTGGCCACACCACCACCCACCTTCCCAGCCGCTCCCGCCCTCTTCCTCCCAGGGCTCAGTGTCCAGGACAAGGGAGCAAATGCAGCCAGAAAGGGACCCTCACTGCAGAGCGCAGAGAGAGGGGTGAGGAAGGCCATTTGGAAGGCAGCCCTGAGGCTGGGGCTCCTGGGGCCTCCTGTCAGGCGCCCCTGGCTGCTGGGTCCTGCTGCTGGGGGGCTTTTCGAGTCCTGACGATGCAAGGGGGGTGTTTAGTTCTCAGTCGGGTTTCTGTGTTCAGGTTGCTCTTGGCCGTCCTTTTCCCGTGAGCCAGGGTAGGTTAGGGTGCGGCTGCTCTGTGGTGACTGTTCTACTCCAGGGGAGTCTCTGATGTGCCACACATCCTCCCCCCCTCAGCCCTCCCCTCCTCTGTCCGCCCAGATTTCAAGTAATGGGAGAGGTTCCTGCAGGACTTTCCTGAGAATTGATGGAGTGACAGAGGCAGTGAGACCAGGAGATGGACTCAGGACCCTCCCGTGGCCCCGAATGAATCCCCTCCCACCCCTTCTGTCAGCGACACAGAGCAGCACTTTGGGGCAGAGGCTGAGAGGCCGGGAAGGCACTCGCTGCCACGGGGGCGGCGTGGCCGTGGCCGTGGCCGCACACAATTAGACCCAAGCAGAGGCTCCGCGGGAGAGGGCGTGTCGGTCATGCAAAGCTGGTGTGGGCACAGGGAGGCTCTCGGGGAAGAAGCAGCAGGGACGTTCCCCCAAGAATGCCCCTCAGGGCTGGGCTCAGCACGGCAACTGGACTGGGGGTGCCTGGCACGGGGTGGTCCTACCTGGAAGCTTCCCCATCCCCCCATTCTCTCCTCCACCCCCATCCCCAAGTCCCAGAGGAGCACATCTCTCAGGACACCGAGGGACCCAAGAAATGAAGCCTTCCTCAGTGCAGAAGCCTCCCAAGCCATGGTGAATGGCCGCCAGGAGGCAGATGCCTGCTCCCTCCCGGGACCAGAAGCGAGGGCCGGGCACAGGCAGGGGTGGCATCTGGGTTCTCTTGGCTCCTCTCAGATCTCGGTCAGGGCGTCGGCTGGCACCAGGCCCCGCTTCTTGCCGCTGCTGACGCGGATGAAGCCGTCAGCATCCTTGCTCCTGCCCACGCCCACACAGATCTGAGCCAGAGAGACACGGAGCTCAGGCCTGGCACTGCCTGCAGCCCTGGCCCCGAGTCCTGCTGATGGCTCCCAGGGGGCCCGCTCCCGGGAATGAGGGAACGGGCATCAGATGTGGCTGGAGACCTCAGCTGGGGTGATAGGAGCAGATCCCATAAGGGTCTGGGGTGCAGCAGCAAGACCAGGACATCAGCAGACACAGAGCAGCACTTGGCGGCTGACTTTGAGATCAGCTGGTCTAACGCAGCCCCTCTGCCATATCGCAGAGGGAACAGAACTTGTCTGAGGTTACACACCAAGCCAGAGGCAGAGCCACCATTCAACCCCAAGCCTCTGGACTCCTAGTCCAGTGCTCCTCTTCTCCCCAAAGCTGTCTCTCCTGTAATTCAGCCCCTGCCTGTGGCCACCAACCCCAATCCCAGCAGGAGAGGACTAGAGGGCCCGCAGTCCCACCTCCTGTAACCGCTGCAGGGCCCGGGCACTCACCTGGTTCTCCTTGAGGCTCAGGTAACCCTGTTCCTTATTCCCGGAGAAGGGTTGGCAGCAGCGCCAAACATTCTCGCCCGGCCTCACCCGCTGCACGAAATTGGCTGGGAAGAAGCCAACCCGGTCGCCAATCTTGCCCTGGGGATGAGGCGGCATGAGCACCAGTGCCATCCCCACTGCTCTCTCTAGACCCAGTGACCACTGAGAGCCAATGCCAGAGTCTGGGTTCTCTGTATTCAAGCCCCCAGTCGGGTGGCTTCTGCACTGGGAAGGGCATTAGGTGGGCAGAGGGACAGAGCTGGGGCGGCTTGGGGGGGGGGGGTGTCAAAGCAAGAGCAAGGTCTGAGGGTTGGTCCCAGGCTTGGCTGGAGCCAGTGGCTGGAGGAGGAGTGGTCTTTGGGGCCTGGAGAGAAGGTGGGGCAGTGCCCGTTGAGGGCAGAGGTGGCGAGATGCCTACCAGGGTCCCTCCGTCTCCCACCCTGCCCAGTCACCTTCCACCAGTCCTCGTTAGAGTCATCCACCAGCATGATCCGATCTCCAGGCCTGGGAGGAGAGAGCGGGGGCAGCATATGGGGCAGGGTGGGCTTGCCCCCTCTGCATCCCCACAGTCCTGGACCCCAGATCCCCTGCATGCCCCCCTCAGCTGAAGGAGGATTCCTGATGCCCTCAACAGGGGGACGCTGTGTGACCGCAGGGACAGCCAACATTGGCCAGGACAGAGCTGGGGCGGGGGCAGGAGCCATGCCATCAGCACCCATTCCCTCTTGGACCCGGGGCTGCTCTGCTCCTCTCTGGGCTCAGCAGCCTCAAGTACGCCAGGAGAAGGTTCCTGAAGGCCCCTCACACTCGTGTCCCAAGGTCTGGGAGTGCAGAGCCCTGAGGTTGGAGCCAGGCGGCCACCCGGGGGGGCTGGGCACAAGGAGGACTTACTGTAGAGCCAGGTCGTTGTTCTCCTGGGGCAGAAACTTGTAGAGCGCAACATAGGAGTACATGGGGCCCACGTCCTTCCGCAGCGGGTGCTTGGGGGGCTGTGGGAGGGCTCTGGGTCAGTGATGGGAGGGCCATACCCTCTTCACTCCACCTACTGGCCTTGACCTGGCTACCTGGGGGCTGGGAGGTGGGACACAGGCTCCTGGGTCAAGGATAAGGAGAGGTCAGCCTCTCCCATCTGCTGTGCTCACACACCCCAGGGGGCGCTGGGCCAGGACGGAGAAGGGGATACTCTGCTGCCTTCTGCACCCTGAAACTGCCCACCCTTGGGGAAACAGGAGTGGGAGCAATAGGCATTGGGTGAGTGGTGGGAGGGTAATACCCCTGCCTCCTGTGACCACTCCCCCTAGCACGGCCCACCCCTGTAGACTGTAGACTGAGAATAAATGATGGAGCAGTGACCCTCCCACTCACCCTGTTCTCACCCACCTGTGGGTCAGTGACATTCCTTCCCCACCTGGCCTCCTGGGGCTGGTGCCAGCATCACCTCACCTGCTGTCCAGGGCTCTTCTCCTCTGGTCCTGACCCTTCGCTCTCTGCCGGGGCTGTGAACACTGCAGATGCCAGGGGCGGGAGACAGGGTGTGAGGCAGCAGGAAGCCACCGCACTGTGACACTGTGACCCCTTCCTGCCCCTGGGCCTTAACCTCCACTCACCATTGTCGCCAGGGCCCTCCTCGGAGCTCCGGATGCTGCTTTCCCCATCCTCCGTCAGCTCTTCCCGCTCGCTCTGGGGACAGAGAGAGGGAAGGGTTCAGCCCCTGGACCCTCCTCCTCAGAGACCCCTGCCCCCAAGGTTCCCCTCTGGCGCCCACCATACCAGGCTCCGTGTGGGGGACTCAGAGGTGCTGCTGAAGCTGGAGCGGTTCATCAGTGCCAAGGAGGTGCCATAGCGGAGGGTCTCGTAGACGGGGTCCACCTTCCCGCTGGCGCCTGCCAAGGATCCACCTTCAAGGCCAGGCACCCAGCTGCCGGCCTCGCTCGCCCCTGAAGCCCTGGATCGCAGCCCTGGCTGAACTCCGGTCTCCCCTCATCTGCCCTCCCCATTCTCCCTCCTCCTCCCATGGAGCCCATGCAGAAACCGTGGCGTCCTTGACCCCTCACTCTCCGCACTGCTCATATCACTCCGTCACTTAGTCCTACCTCCCGAATGCTCTAGAGCAGGGGTGGGCAAACTTTTTGACTCGAGGGCCACAATGGGTTCTTAAACTGGACCGGAGGGCCGGAACAAAAGCATGGATGGAGTGTTTGTGTGAACTAATATAAATTCAAAGTAAACATCATTACATAAAAGGGTACGGTCTTTTTTTTTTTTAGTTTTATTCATTTCAAACGGGCCAGATCCGGCCCGCGGGCTGTAGTTTGCCCACAGCTGGGCTAGAATCTGCCCGCTTCCCTCCATCTCCACCGCTACCAGTCTGCTCCAAGCTCCCAAACTCTCTCTTGGCAACCATCACAACCTCCCCACTACTCTCTGTGCTTCCACTCCGGCCCCTCCAATCCACACAGCAGCCAGAATGCCCTTGTAAAAACACAAAAAGTGTCCTTAGAATAAAGTCCAAAGAACAATCGTAAAATGGACCCCAAGGCCCTGGGCCCATGGTCCTGTCCCACCCTCTCACTCTCACGCCCTCAGTCCCAGCCATGCTGTCCTTTCTGTGACCGCCCCTTCCCGCCTCAGGCCACACCCTCTGCCCACACTGGCCTTCCCCAGATCCTCAGTGGACTAGCTCCCCACCCTTCACTTCTCCCAGTGCCTTTCCCAGTCTCCATGGTTGAGGACGGTGGCTGCTTTCTCCTCTCTTTATTTCCTATCCTTGTTTTAGGCATTCATCTGAATGATGACTCATTGATAATTGGTGTGATTATCTATTTCATGTCTATTACAGACCATGAACTTCATCTCTTCAGTGCTATGTCCCTGTGGCTGGCACAATGTCTGGCACTCAGTAGGTGCTCAGTAAAGTTTTTGTTGACGGATGAGTGAATGAAGGAGCCCTACGTGCAGGACAGGAGCACCCACAGAAGGGAGGTGGTAGCCGTGCCAAGAACTGGCAGGGCCCGTGTGACACAGGTGCCCAGATGAGGAATGCATGGGTTGCTCAACACCCCACAGCGGGATCAGGAGCAACAGGGGGATACTCACCAGTGGGCGGGGACTCCCTGCTTGTGGAACAGGCTGGTGGCGGCTCATGCACCAGGAGGGGGGAGCTGAAGTTGCGACGGAAGGAGGAGGACTACGGCAAGAGGGGGCAGAGAGAGGGCATGAGGATGCCACAGCCCAGGGAGTAATGGATCTTCCTCACCTCACATGGGGAACCAGCCTTGAGGGGTACTCATTCCCCCACAGGCTGGTTCTGGGGGCTCTCCGCCGGCCATCGCCACTCACCGTCTTGACTGGGCATTGCTGGTGGGAGATCTCCTCGGAGCACCAGAGGTGGACGCTGACTTTGCATGTCTTACACCGCAGGCCCTGCTTGGAGTTTCCTGGGAAGAATTTGGGTTCAGAAAAGGAGGTTGATCAAGAAGGGACACACCCATGGGCGATGGAGCAAAGGAGGCAGGTGAGGGGTGGGGAGAGGGTAGGGGACCAGCCTCTGGGACTAGCATCTACCCCTCGTCCAGTCAGGGTGCGAACCTGCACTGAAGCCTGAGTTGTTAGTAAACGCAGCAGGACTGGGCACCCCCCACCCCAACAGAGCTCAGTTGTCTGCCCAGGGTGAGGGGCACAGTGAGCACTGGGAGCCATGAATATCAGGAAGTTCCACAGGCCAACTCCCCTGCCCACCCTGGCGCGTCACCTTGCCCGCCTCAGGCACCTACCTACAATGAACTGGTGGCACAGCTCACAGGGGTTGGCTCGCTTGAAGACATGTTCCTGGAAGCTGTGCAGCCTCACTGGTTTGAGAGATGCCAGGGGACGTGGGACGGGGCAGGGGGAGGGTGCCGGGGTGGGCAGGCCCCTGTCTGTGGGTGCCCGTGGTGGGGAGGAAGGGGGCAGCGGGGTTGGCGGTGTCAGCAGCACCTCGGTGGGGCACTTGGGCTCAGAGCCTGAGCGAAGGAAGAAGTTCTCCACGCTCTTACTTCGGAGGATGGTCTTGAGGGAAAGCGAGCGCTTGAACCGCTGGAGCTGAGAGAGGAGGAGGGACTGTGAGTGGAAGCCCAAGAGGGTGCTGGCCTCCCCGCCCCCAGGATAGGTCTGTGGGTCAGCGGCAGCTGAAGGCTGAGGGCCAGAGGTGAGATGAAGGACTAAGAGGAAGGCTGCCAAGTTCCAGAAGGTGGCTCACAACCCCAGATGCCTACAGTAACGTCCGTGAGCAAAGCAGTTCCGCTGGGCAGGCAGACAGTGAGGAGTGGTGGGGACTGCGGCAAACTGAACAGCTAGGGGGCCGCTGCTGGTGTCCTCTGGCCAACGGAGGCCATCCCAGGACTGTCAGGTTTTTCAATTTTCAAAAGAAATCTAGACTTTTATGGGAAATTGAATAGAAACACATTGAAAAGCTTTCATTTTTTTTGTTCCTTTGCAGAAATGGTAGTATACGATTTTTCCTGTGCCTTGCTTTTTTCACTTAACAGTAAATCTTGGAAATCATTCCATACCAATACTTAAAGAGATCCATAATTCTTTTTTATGGCTACGCAGGGTTTCATTGTACGGGCATACCGTTTACTCGAGTTAAAAATACTTTGGGGGTCAAACAAAACACTCCAGGTCCCAGTTGTCCCCCTGTGTTCTTGAACAGGGTGGGAGTGGGGAGTGGTCACCCTCACCCTCATCCTTAGGGCTGATTTCCCCTCAAAACACCTCTCCAGTCTGTCCCCTACAATCGCCTCATCACTTGCACAGCCCTGCCCTAATTCAGGCCACAGCACCCCCAGTCTGATTAAGGCCACAACCCTTTGCCTCTACCTGCTAAAAACCATATATATATGTTTTTTATTGATTTGAGAGAGAGGAAGGGAGGAGAGAGAGATAGAAACATCAATGATGAGAGAGAATCATTGATCGGCTGCCTCCTGCAGGCCCCCTAATGGGGATTGAGCCCACAACCTGGGCATGTGCCCTGACCAGGAATCAACCATGACCTCCTGGTTCATAGGTTGATTCTCAACCACTGAGCCACACCAGCCGGGCTGCCTCCATCTGCTTTCCACACAGGGAGGTGATCTCTGACCTTGCTAAAAACTTTTCATGGCCCTAGCCAGTTTGGCTCAGTGAATAGAGCTTCTGCCTGCAGACTGAAGGGTCCCAGGTTTGATTCGGGCCAAGGGCACATGCCAGGTTTGCAGGCTCGATCCCCAGTAGGGGGCGTGCAGGAGGCAGCCAATCAATGATTCTCATCACTGATGTTTCTATCTCTCTCTCACTCCCCCTTCCTCTCTGAAATCAATACTAATATATTTTTTTAAAAAACACAAAAACCCCCCAAACTTTTCATGGCTCCTCAGGACCCAGCAAAAGCCCTTGCTTCAGACATGAAACTCTGCAACTTGGGCCAACCTGCCTTTCCAACCCACGCCTTCCGCCTACCACCCGGGCACGAGGGCTTGGACTTATCCGTGCTTTATGCCTCTGAGCTATGGACTTATTTGTCCCCTTCTCTGCCTCATCCAATTAATACCCTCTTTATCCTTCAGGATTTCCAGCGACTCTTCCTCTTCCGGGAAGCTGTCTCTTCTGCAGGAATTCCATTTAGTGGAGCCACTCCCTCCTCTGGGGCCCGTCGCGCCCAATGCTGACTTCCGTTATAGCTCCAATCAGGTCTATGTTGTTATTCACTTCTCATCCTCCCGACGGACTGTGAGCCAGCCAAGGGCAGGGGCAGATGCCTCCCACCTCACAGGGCCTGCACGCATAGTAGCTGCTCGGTCAATGTTGGCTGATAAATGAGCAAGTGGCTGGAATCCTAAGTGGAGGCATTTGGAGTGCAGAGTGGATCCTGCAGGGAGGCCAGGGCTATTCCCACTGCTCACCCTAACCTACCATTCTTGAGTCTGCCCAGAGCGAGACCTGGAATCTTCTCTACCCAGATTCTCGCCCCACTCCCCTCCTGTTGAGAGCCCCCTTACCCCGGCCTACTCCTTTCCACCAGTGATAGAAAACGGGGGCCAGAAGCCTGGCTTCAGACAGGAAGACTTGGCCAGGGTTCCCAGCTGGCACACCGGGCAGCCTGTGTGCCATGGCAGCCAGCCTGGCAGTGGTGCCAAGAGGATGGAAGTGGTGGCCCCTCCAGCCCTGGGGAGGTCATCGGGCAGCAAGAATGAGGGGAGCAGAGAGGGAGATGTCTGGGCACAGGGTAGGCCTGGTGTGCCACTGCCAGCTGTGAAGCCAGAACCCTGGGGTGTCTGGCACACCGAGCTGCCCAGCTCCTTCCAAATGCAGCTTCCTGGACAGCACTGTGGGCTTCTTTGTGTGCCTGTGAGAATCGGGGCCCCAGGCCCCGGATGCCTGCACGCTGAGGCAGAGGTGCAGGGCCAGGGGGACAATGAATTAGAACACGAATGTGATTTACGGGCCAAATGTGTCTCTGGGGGCTTTCACAGGCCCAGGGAGGCAAGGGAACCCACCGCCGCCCAGAGCCGGTGGACATAGAACACACGAGGTCTCTGGAAGTCTATGCTGGAGGCGGGGGCAGAACTAAACCTGCTGTCTAAAGGCAAGTCACTTCCCTTCCTCTCTCCGAGCCTCAGTTTCCCCACATCCAAGAGGAAAGAGGTAGGACTACATGCTAAGCAATGCAAGGCTCTGAGTCCAAAAACATAAGCTTATAGCTATAAGGGGCTGTCACTGTCAGTGAGCTGGAAGCGAGTTAGCACTTTTTATGCAGCATCTCATTAATCCTGGCGCTACCCTCTGAGGTGGTGACCATGACCCCACTTTCAGATGAGGAACCGAGTCTCACAGGGGTAAGTCACTGGCCCACGAGTCCTCAGCTGGGAAGTAGCAGAGCCAGGACTCGAACCAGTGTCTTTAGCTGTTGAGCCCAAGGGAGCAGGAGCTCCTGGCGCCCTGTGCCCTGCCTCGGCCCTCACCTCTGCCCCTCAGTTGCTCCATGGGCTTGTCTGCAGGCCGGTAACACCATTTGGGTTAGCAGGGACTTGACAGACTGGCTACGTAGAGCAGTCCCTACCCGATCCCCCGCACGTCCCCTCAGAGTGGTTGTCTGGCTGTGTGGGTCACCTCTGGGACAGGAAGCACACCTCTCTTGGGACAGTCACTCCATCTTTGGGCACCTGCAACCGCTGGAAAGTGCTTCCCTGTATAGAGCCGAACCCTGCCTCCTGCCATTTTTGCCAATGGGCCCCTGTTCCTTCCTCCCTTGGCTCCAGAAAGAGCTGCTCCCTCTAACACATCCTCCCCAGCCCTCAGCTGGGCACAGTCATGCCCTCCCATGCGGTAGGACGGACACGTGGTCTTACCCACTGGCCCCTGCCCCATGTCTCTCCCCGCCCCCCGCAGAGGGGGACACATATCAGTCCTTCAAATATTTTAAGACATCAATCATATCCCCCCTCCCAAGGCCATCATTTTCATAGCAACCTCACAGGATTTCCATAATCCTCCCTATTCTCCTTTCCACTGGCCCCCTGGCCTCAGGGCCACGAGCCACCTCTGTAGGGTTCCAGAGGCCTCGGGAACAAAATGTTCCCCAGCACCAGGGCAACCCCAACTCTGTCTGAAATTCACTGGCTCCGTGTGGGCCCCACATACCACCTGGGGTAGCTGGAAGATGTCAAGGGCTGTGGTTGGAGGGCAGGAAGCATCACCCCTGGCAAATGGCTTGATGCCTGCTCGCTCCAGAGACATCCGGCTTGGCTACACGATGTCATTTTGGCCCAGCCTGGCCAAGGATCCCCATTCCTGGGACTCCTAGTTCCCAGAGATGATCTTTCCCCATCTCCCCATCAGCTATCTTTCCGGTGCCCGCACTGTTCCAGGACCCATTCCCTGGCAGGGGGAGAACTTGCCATGTACCCTGGTGAGCTGGGCCCTCTCTTGGATCCTGTTCCATCCCAATGCACCTGGAGCTTGTCTGGCTTGGAGCCTGAACCACCAGCCCTATTCTTCTGAATTCCTCCCCACTTCCCCATACCCTAGACGAGGGGTGGGAATGTCAGGTCCGCAGGCCGTATAAGGCCTGCAAAGTCACTTGGTCTGGCCCTGCCAAGGCACTAGGCGTGAGTTAATTAAATGTTTAACCAAATAGAGCAGGCTAATTTCATAATTTCGTATGGCCCAAGAATGATGTTATGAATATCCAAATGGCCGTTGGTAGAAAAAAGGTTCCCCACCCCTGCCCTTGACGGTCCCTTCTCTTCTCAATTCCCCGTGGTACCTCATCACTTCCTGCCAGCTCCTGAAAGGGCACTAAGCAGCTGGCGGTGGGTGTTGGTGGACTTAGCACAAGCTGACTCAGATGGCAGAGCTGGCATGGCAGGGTCTTCCCAAAGATGGCAACAAAGGGGGTGACTGCGGGCCCTGTGTGGTAGTATGGGATGGGGACCCAGAAAAGGGGATGCTGACACTAGGAAGGTGGCTGAGTAGCTTGGATGCAGGGGTGAGACCCAACCTTAGGGTGGGCAAAAGGATGGATTTGGCAAGAAATGCCCAGAGGGCCCAAACACTGATAGATAAGCCTGGAATGTTGGCTTACTGCCTGGGGGGTACCAGCCCCCTCTGTTGTACCTGCCTCGAACTGAGCTGGGTGGGCAGCAGCCAACCCTCTTCCTTTCCTCTCCCCCACTGCTACAGTCTGGAGATAGAAGTTTCTTTGAGACAGGCTGGGGGAGGAGAATGGAAGGAGGCTGGCAAGAGTCCTGAATTATTCTCTCTCTGCCCACCTGTGCCCTCCTGACCCCCAGCCCAGCCTGTTACTATTGAGTTATTACTGAGCCCTTCACAGGGGGTGGCATAGGGGAAGGGAGCAAAGGCACAGCGCGGCCAGGCCAAACGTGCACCCTACCTCCTCCCCTGCTCCTGGGATATCCAAGGCTCAGCCCCAGAGGTGCCTGGCATTGGAGGGTCCTTGGGCGGGGAGGAGGGCAGTGCACACCTGCCAGGCACAGCCTCCCCCTGCCCACACAGCTGAGCTCGCAACCTGCTGATTGCTGAGGCAGCACTGCCCAGGGTCCTGCCTGCATTCACTCCTGCCTGCTTGTGGGAGCTCTTAAGGAAGGGGCAGAGCTGCCAGGCCTTGGTGTGGGAAGCAGACCCCCTGGTCCCTGGGGAGCAAGGAGGGGGATGGCGGATGTCTGTCCAGGGTGACTAGAGGCAACGGAGAAGGTCAGGGGCCTTGGACCTCGGGATGGGGCTCCGCTCCCGGGACCCTCTGCTGGAAAGAAGCTGTCACAAATATTCCACACACTAGCCTCCTGCCCCAACACCTCTTTCCTTTCCCAGTAGACACTTGACTTTCTGAGGGGGAGTTAACTCTGTGGTCTCATTCTCAGAAGGGGCCAGGAGAAGGTCAAATGTATATCTGATAAAACAACAACAAAAAGAATTAAAAAAATGTCTATCTGAAGACTTGGACATGAAGACCCACGGGGTCCCTCTGGTTTAGGGATGGGGAGCTTGCTGGGGTGCCTCAGCCAGACTCCACCCTGGCTTTACTCACCTCCCCCTGGTCACTCCCTTGATGACCTTGACCTTGAATTAACCTTATATCCTGGGGGCGGGGGGTCAAGACGGAATGAGGAGGAAGATGGGCATGGGAGAGAACTACAGATGGACTGGAGGTACCAGGGGGAGCCAAAGACCCCATCTACTTCTGGTCCTCACTGCCTTCCTCCTCTGGGTGACAGGAGCAGGGAGGAAACAGAATACCCGGCGGAAGGGAGAGAGGAGGAGGTCTTGGCCGCTCAGGTTGCTTCCCGCAGAACTTCTTGCCTGTCAGTTGTGAGCATCTAACAGTGGTTCTCAACCTTCTGGCCCTTTAAATACAGTTCCTCATGTTGTGACCCAACCATAAAATTATTTTCGTTGCTACTTCATAACTGTCATGTTGCTACTGTTATGAATCGTAATGTAAATATCTGATATGCAGGATGGTCTTAGGCGACCCCTGTGAAAGGGTCGTTCGACCGCCAAAGGGGTCGCGACCCACAGGTTGAGAACCGCTGATCCTAGAACTTTGGGAAGGGAGCAGACAGATTATGGGGGTGGGGGGAGGCTTGAATGTGAGCGACGCCCTCACCCGCTTCAGCGCCAGGAGCCTGGGCTCCGCCTGACTTCACTGGGGAATAATTTATTCACTGTGACTCCCGCAGGAGTAACGATCATACATAATTAGGGTTAATTATGACATTCATTAATTACGATGACTTCTCTTTTTTGCTTGTTACGCGCCCTTTCCCACCCCCCACCCTCGTCCAGATCCCGGGGTGGGGGGAGAGCAGCCTGCCTTTCTGGTGGAGCCGCAGCCACAGCCCCGGGTCCCGCCAGCGCGGCCCGCGCTGCCGCAGCCCCAGCGTGGACTCGGCGCTGCGCACCCTGGGCCGC